TTTTAGTAGAGACGGGGTTTCACCATGTTGACCAGGATGGTCTCGATCTCTTGACCTCGTGATCCACCCGCCTCGGCCTCCCAAAGTGCTGGGATTACAGGCTTGAGCCACCGTACCCGGCGAGAGATTGTTTTTAGCTCTGTAGATGTCCTGTTTCTGGATTGTTGTATTACTTATAATTACCTTAGTGAAAATTCATCACAGAGAACATGGCCCAGATTCAGCCTAGCGCCACAATGATCTCCAGAGCTGCCCCTGAAGTTGAAGCTTCCAGACTCACATTGAGGGAAACATCACACATGATACTTTTGTAAGCCCTTTAGACATGGCACACGGATTGGTTGGATGAGTCTCTGTAGGGGCGTCTTTGGCAGCTTTCCCAGCCCTCAGGCACAAGGTGCCAGCAACCCTCGCTCTTGCGACTGCCTGCATGTCTGCAGACATTGTCACCTGTTCCTTGGGAGGCAGTCGTCCCCGGCTGAGAACCACTGAAGGGGACTTTTGAGGGGCCTGTTAGGTTCAGAGCCCCCTTTGGTGAGCAGCTGTGGGTTTTGGGTGGTAAGGGGAGCGGGGACTTGGAGGCAGCCACCTGGTCTGAGGTCCCTGCTCTCCCACAGGGCATCCCTTGTGAGCGGGACAGTCTCTGCCTCCCTAGGTAGAAAGAGAAGTTAGGAATATGAATGACACGTGCTTTCTTCCCCAGGTACCAGAAGCGGCGACTAGATAAAGTCCGGCAGAAGAAGGAGGAAAAGGCGGCAGACAGGCTGGAGCAGGAGCTGCTCCGAGGTAGCTCTCCGAAAGCCATGGTGTCAGCGGTGGTCCCAGCAGGGCCTGGGCACAGGCCTTCTGTTCCCCACCAGGCCTGGCTGCAGTGGGCACCTGTGGTCTCCCCTGGGGTCCACAGCCGTTAGACCATTGGATGAGTCAGTGTTCTGTGTCCCAGCCCTGTGGGAGGGGATGGAGGTGGGCGGGTGGTGGCTCTGGTCAGCAGTCCTCCATTGTACTCTGCTCCTCCAGACACGGTGAAGTTTGGTGAGGTTGTCCTGCAGCCCCCAGAGCTGACCACCAGGCCCCAGAGGAGCATAAGCAAGGACCAGGTAAGTGGAGCTGGGGCCTAAACAAGGACCAGGAAAGTGGGGCCTGCGGACGACTGAGTTAGACCCCCAGTGTTGCCAGGGAACAGAAGCCTTGGCCAGGCCGGATACCGTGGCTCACACCTGTAATCCCAGCACATTGGGAGGCCAAAGCAGGTGGATCGCTTGAGCCCAGGAGTTGATACCTGCCTGGGCAACATAGCAAGACCCTGTGTTCTGGGGAAAAAAAAGCCTTCTGGTATGTGGCCTGAGAGTGCCGCATTCTTTCTTTCTTTCATTTTTATTTTTATTTTTATTTTTTTAAAAAGATGGGGTTTCACCATGATAGCCAGGCTGGTCTTGAACTCCTGACCTCAGGTGATCCACCCACCTCAGCCTCCCAAAGTGCTAGGATTACAGGCGAGAGCCACTGCGCCCGACCAGTGCCGCATTCTTGATGGCGGGAAAGCATTGGAGCTGTGAGGCTTTCTGTTGCGTTCCCTCCTTTCCGAGCCTGAGCCTCACCTTCCCCTCTCTCCCTCAGCCTGGCAGGAGATTGCAGATGCCGACGATGCTTCTGAGCCCCGGCGGTGTGTCCCAGCCTCTGGCCGCCTCCCTGGCCCGCCAGCGGATTGTGGGGAAGGAGAGAGAGCGAGCAGTGCAGGCCTACAGAGCGCTGAAGCAGCGGCGGCGGTGGCTGCAGGGGGGGCAACCCCACCGCCCTTCCCAGAAGAAGCCAGAGCCGCAGCTGTGATGGAGCGAGAGCCGGGTCTGGTCACGCTCCTGGGAAAGCGGTAGCAGGAGCTGCCACCCTGGGTAGGGGAGAGGCAAGCAGACCCTTTGCCCTGGCCTTGCTAGCAGTGCAGGCTCGGGCCTCCAGGTGCTTGTTCACACGCTGGGCATCAGCAGGTCCGCATCCTGCAAGGGGTGGGTGCCTGATGGACGAGGGCCCTGTGGCAAAGCTCCGTGTCTTTGTTCTGAACGTCCGTGCTGAGCTGCAGCCCAGGTTCACCTTTGGAGGGCTGATCCCATTACCCTGCCCCTGAACACCAGCTACCGAGACAGCTGCTGAGGCTAGCTCGGTGCATGACAGAGGCCCCCTGGAGTCAGCAGAATTGAGTGCACAGCATACACCAGGCAGAGCAGGCCAGGCTGTGCACCGGGGCAGGGCTACTGGGCACATCTACACCACCTGTGAGGGCTATGCAGGGGACCGTGACCACAGGCCAGTTGTGAGTGGTCCCCTGCCCAGAGGCTGGTTGGGGTGGAACCTGATGACAGCACATATACAAGAAGGTGGGAACGGGGGCCTGGGCTCAGCGGCTCACGCCTGGAATCCCAGCACTTTGGGAGTTCGAGGTGAGTGGATCACTTGAGGTCAGACGTTTGAGACTAGTCTGACCAATATGGTGAAACCCCATCTCTACTAAACATACAAGAAAAAAAACCAGGGGAAATAGTATTGTCACCTACATGACAGGGCTCTGAGAGAGCTGGGGAGGTCCGAAGTGGCTCGAGGAGCTAAAGGAAGGATCCTGGCCTGGGCTCGGGGCCACAGAGCGGGACCAGGGGGAGTTCCTGCTGAGGGCAGGGCCTTGCCAGGCTTCAGCCTCCTTTCACTGCCACCGGCAGGAGCCCCCAGGCTGTCAGCGTCTCCAGATGAGGGCAGGAGGGAGCAGCTTAAACCCAAGTCCCACGTCTAGCAATGGAATCCCACTGCTGGGCACTGGCTGGGAAGTGAGGAGTGCCTCCGTACAGCCGCTGCACAGCCCGGTGTGAGGTGGCAGCCTTGTGTGTGATCTTTCTGCCTTCCCCAAATTTGCTTTTTCCACAGTGAAGTTGATTTGTAAATTAAAAGATGTAAGTTGGGGAGGATGTTAAGTCAGAGCTGCTCCCTCTTGGGTGAGTTTCCGCTGGATGAATGGTTTTGCCACCGTGATGTACTCGGCCCCAGCACCAGATCACATGCAGCACTGGAGTGGGTGGCCTTTCCCTGGGAAAGGGAGGGATGGCAGTGGGTGGTGCCCCCACTTACGTGCTGCGTTTGGTTTTGGGCATCGGTATCGGCCACTGTGCGGCTGAGTGAAGGGATTCCCACAGGGCTGGGAAAGCATCCGTGCTCTCGCTGCATCCACGGTTCTCAGGTTTCTGCTGCTGTTGGAAGGGAAACCCCTGGTGCTTTCTGAGGGTCTCTCTTGCCCAGGCTGGGGTACAGTGGCATAAACAGACTCACTACAGCCTCAAGTTGTTGGACTTCAGCCTCCTGAGTACCTGGGACTACAGGGGTGCACCCGCACACCCAAATAATATTTTGCACTTTTGATGTAGATGGGGTTTCACCACATTGCCCAGGCTGGTCTCGAACTCCTGGACTCAGGATCCACCTGCTTCGGCCTCCCAAAGGGCTGGGATTACAGATGTAAGCCACTGTACCTGGGTTTTTTTTTTTTTTTTTTTTTTTTTTTTTTTTTTTTTTTTGAGGTAGGGTCTTGCCGTGGCTTAGGCAGGAGTTCAGTGGCACACTGGTCTTGAACTGCTGGGCTCAAGAGGTTAGCCTGCCTTGGCCTCCCACAGTACCAGGGTTCAAGGAGAGGCCAGCTTGTCCATCCTCCTTTTCTTATCCTTTACCTCTAGAATTTTAGGAGGAGGAGGCCGGGCGTGGTGGCTCATGCCTGTAATCCAAGCACTTTGGAGGCCAAGGCGGGCGGATCACCTGAGGTCGGGAGTTCAAGACCAGCCTGACCAACATGGTGAAACCCCGTCTTGTAAAAAAAAAAAAAAAAAAATTAGAATTTTAGGAGGAGGCTACATGGACATAAGTCAGAGCAAACGTTTCTTTTAACAGGCGAGGGCCGTGGATGTGCCTTCCTGGGCTCCTGCTCTCTCTGGGGCAGTGCTCATCTCTCTCCATGTAAAGGGAAAACGAAGTCTGCACAGAATCTGGTGGTGCTGACGGAACCAGTGATCCAGACGGGAACCCGCGTGTACATACAGGCCTCACGGCACCCTATTGTGAACTAGCCCACAAGGAAGGATTTTCCCAAAATTCAGGCCAGCCATGGTGTCGCTGTGCCTGTGGCCCCAGCCACTCGGGAGGCTGAAGTGGGAGGATCACTCAAACCTGAGGGGTCATGGCTGAAGTGAGCCGTGATTGTGCCACTGCACTCCAGCCTGGGCTGTAACAGACCAAGACCTTGCTTCTAAAACAAAAAGAATTCATATCTAGGTGGTACATTTGCGCTGAGAAGAATCCAAAAGCAGAGATAACTGATAACAGTGGTATCCTTACCAGCTTCAGTTCCCACAGACTTGGGAGGGAATCGGGCTCGTGGGGGCCAGGGCCCCGGCATGGGCACCGTGGGGGATGGAGGGTGCCTGGCCCAGAACAGCCAGTGAGCACAGGGACCCTAAAGACAGAGGTGGCGGTCTGGGTGACAAGGCCAGTCCCTGGCCCCCCTCGCCCATCCCGCAGGACACCCCAGTTGACACTGTGTGCCAGTAAAGTTGGGGCATGGTTTTGGGAACGTGGGTCATTCAGAGTGGTCCTCGGCACACAGCCTGTGAGAGCAGGCAAGGAGGGTCCTTAGCCACCCACCCAGAGGCTGTCCTCCCTGTGGTGCCATGCCACATCTGCGTAGGACTCCTGGCTGGAACCCACGCTTGAAAACCACCTGAGGAGGTGCCAAAGTGTGGCTGCAGGCTCCAGATCACATTGGCTCCACCTACCCAGGACCCAGCTGCCACCAGCGCTGGCTCGGAACACAGGCTCACTGCTTCTCCGGGTCTTGGGAAACCTGTACATCTTAGGACTCATTCAGGATCAGCATGTCCAGCCCAGGACTTGGGGAAAAGCACTCCTTCCCAACTAGAGACACGTTCCTCAAAGCAACCTGAGGAGCGCAGCCCATCTGCCTCCAGCTGGGTGACTGCAAAGGCCAGGCTCCCACCTCCCCGTACGTTTATGCCCCACAGCAAAAAACATGGTGGGTATTTTTTTTTTTTTTCCCCTTTGTGAGGTAGGCTTGCTCTGCTGTCCAGGCTGGAGTGCAATGGCACAATCTTGGCTCACTGCAACCTCTGCCTCTGGGATTCAAACAGTTCTGTGCCTCAGCCTCCCAAATAGCTGGGATTACAGGCACCTACCACCACGCCTGGCTAAATTTTAATTTTTGTATTTTTAGTAGACATGGGGTTTCACCATTTTTGCCAGGCTGGTCTTGAACTCCTGACCTGGTGATTCACCTGCCTCAGCTTCCCAAAGTGCTGGAATTACAGGTGAGCCACCATGCCCAGCCTATGGTGGGTATTTCTTTCCAGCTATGCCCTAAGCCAAATGTTGAGGTTTTCTGCCCACAAAGGGCAAAAATGTAGCACTGGCTGGGGTGTAACCCGAGGGGTGGCCTGGGTTCTCACTGCCCTTGGGGCAGGCTGGTCTAGACAGCAGGCAGATGTTTTCAGGGGCAAAGTTTCCCCCACCTAGTCCTGAACACATCAGGTGCTGGAGTACAACTTCATTGTGTTCTCATGAAGCCAGTGTGGGCCATGAAAAGGCCCTAGAGGCTGGACTTAAGGTACCATTCTGAACATGCTGCTATGAAACATCCCCGCTGAGCCACAGGAGAATCAGGTGCTGTGAGCTTCCGGCCTGTTGATGCTCAAGAGCCAGGCCGTGCGGGGAAGACTCAGAACTGCTCTAACACACATCTGGGGTTCTTACACCCTCAGCTGAAGAACTCAATGAATTTCAACTTTGAAGAGGTTCTTCCAACACGGCCATTTCAGCCAGGTTTCGCTAAAGTCCTCTGAAACTGGGGGACTGAAAGCCAGTTACCTGGATCACAAGTTGCTTGTGAAATCTGCAAGGACCTGCCGTCAGGCTCATTAAACCCCAACGTATGGCACCTTGGCATGCGGTGTACTTTGACCCAGAGGAGACTGGAAGGCCTCAGAAGCCAGATCTTTGACCTTCCTTCCTGGTTCCTGCCCCTTTTCATCCCCCAAAGTGAGTCACAGAAACCAGACTTCTTTTCCCCCAAGGCAGATCACAGAAACAAGGTTTTCCCCTTTGGGTTTTCACTTCTGAAGGCTCCTGTGTCACATAAAATTTTATTTACTTATTATTTTTTAGAGGAGTCAATCTGTCACCCAGGCTGGAGTGCAGTGGTGTGATCTCAGCTCACTGCAACCACCACCTTCTGGGTTCAAGTGATTCTCCTGCCTCAGCCTCCCAAGTAGCTGGGATTACAGACATGTGCACCGTGCCAGGTTAATTTTTGTTATTTTTAGTAGAGAAGCAGTTTCAGCAAGGTCTCTCAAACTCCTGGCCTCCCAGTCTTAGGATTATATGCAAGAGCCACCACACCCGGCTGTCATGTAAAACTAAAAATTTGTTATGCTTTTAGCCTAGGCATGGGGGCTCATGTTTGTAATCTCAGCATTTTGGGAGGCTGAGGTAGAAGGATCACTTGAGGCCAGGAGTTTAAGACCAGCCTGGGCACCACAGCAAGTCCCCCCTGCCCCCAGCTGTCTCTACCAAAAATACAAAAAATTAGCCAGGTACGGCGGTGCATGCCCGTAATCCCAGCTACTCAGGAGGCTGAGGTGGGAGGACTGACTGAGCCTGGGAGGTTGAGGCTACAGTGAGCTGTGACCCCACCACTGCGCTCCAGCCTGAGACAGAGACCTTGCTTCAAATAAATAAGTAAATTTGTTAACGCCTTTCTCTTGCTCACCTGCATTTTATTAGGAGTGTTGGCTGTCACCCTTGTGAGTGAAAAGGTACCGTATCTTTCCGCCCCATGATACTAACAGGACAGAGACCTCGGTGTCTAATAGCTGCTTGGTAGTGGTAAGAGACAGGGGGAGCAGTGCATGGGCATTCACAAGGTGTCTAAGAAGGTGGCATCCAGCAGGGCACAGGCTGTGTACAGTTGAGAGCCCATGACAAACTAGAAAGCAGAGACGAACCCGAGCCACCGAGGCACACACAGGACGGATCTTTCCCTCCCAGCCCTTGCGCACGGCCCTCCGTTGAACAAAGACCCCTTCCCCACAAGCAGGCTGCTGCAGGTTTGTGCCGTCGAGGGTGGTGGTGCCATGGCTGAAGGAGCCTAGGCTGCCAGCTATGAAACCATGTTTAGAAAATTCACATTTACTCTCAGGACTTTGGGTTTCTGATTCCATCCCTGTAGTCAAATGAGGGTCCCCAAAAGGTGTGTCCAAATTATAACCCCTGGAGCAAGCAGAGGAGGCCCAGTTTGAAAAAAAAAACGGCATTTGCAGATGTAACTAGGAATCATCCTGGATTTCCAGTGACAGGTGTCCTTGTAAGGGGAGAGAACACAGAGGCACAGGTGAGAAGCCGTGTGAAGCTGGGCGTGGAAATTGAGGCTCCGCAGGCCACAGCCCAGGAGCATCGAGATCACCACAGCCACTACGCAGGCAAGGCGTGGACGCTCCCTCAGAGCCCCTAGAAGGAAACCACCCTGGTGACACAGCTTTGGGCTCTGGCCTCCAGAACTGCGAGAGTAAATTTCTGTTGTTTCAGCTGCCACCGGACACTGATGCATCAGTCAACACTCCCACAAGCTGCCACAGCTGAGAACCAGTCAAGGGAGGACACTGGGGAACCGTGGGGACCACAGCCACCACTTCCTGTGCTTCAGCTGAGCCCCTCCTGACTCACCTGTGGCTGTCTCAGGCAATACCTGTTTACTGAACAAGTGAACTAGTGAGAATGCCGGCTCTTGTTTCTTTTGTTTGTGAGACTGGGTCTTGCTCTTGTTGCCCAGGCTGGAGTACAATGGCAGGATTCTGGCTCACTGCAATCTCTACCTCCCCATTTCGAGCAGTTCTTCTGCCTCAGCCTCCCAAGTAGCTGGGATTACAGGCACACACCAACACACCTAGCTAATTTTTGTACTTTTAGTAGAGACGAGGTTTCACCATGTTGGCCAGGCTGGTCTTGAAATCCTGACCTCATGATCTGCCCATCTCGGCCTCCCAAAGTGCCAAGATTACAGGCACTGGCCGTCACGCCCGGCTGCCTTTTGTTTCTAGCTCCAGGCCTGGTTCTTACTACCACACTCACTTCACCTGCCTTGTGCTGTCCGTGGGGATGCGGGGTCAGGGAACCAGCAGCTCAGGCAGGTTGGAGCCTGTGCTGCCTCGTGCTGTCCGTGGGGATGCGGGGTCAGGGAACCAGCAGCTCAGGCAGGTTGGAGCCTGTGCTGCCTCGTGCTGTCCGTGGGGATGCGGGGTCAGGGAACCAGCAGCTCAGGCAGGTTGGAGCCTGTGCTGCCTCGTGCTGTCCGTGGGGATGCGGGGTCAGGGAACCAGCAGCTCAGGCAGGTTGGAGCCTGTGCTGCCTCGTGCTGTCCGTGGGGATGCGGGGTCAGGGAACCAGCAGCTCAGGCAGGCTGGAGCTTGTGCTACAGCAAGAAGCCAGGTCTCAGTGGCACTGTGCAGTCTACACTCCTTGGGGACAGATCCCTGGCAGAAGAGGAGCCTACCCCAATAGCACCACTCCAGGATGCAGGTCACTCAGCCACCTGCAGGCCCTGCTCACCCAGCCTGGGGACAGGTTTTTCAGGGGCCAGATGTCAAGAACTTCCCTCTCTGCATGCCTCAGTTTACCCATCATGTAGGGCTACGCTGGGTTATTCTGTCCAGTGAGAAGTATTGGCAGCAAAGCCACACTGCCCTCTGCCTCCTCTCCCCAGCGAGGGCTAGCCATGCAGTCAACCACTGCCTCTGTGGGTCGCCTGGAGCCAGCCTAGCACCCCTGCCAAGCCAGTGCCTTTCCGGGCGCTGATTTCTGCCGTGGTGATGTCCTGCTTGGCACAAGCAATGATGTCTGGAAGCCTGATTAACGATTTCATCTCCTCCGTGGACATGTAACAGGGTAGGTCGCTGGAGTGAAAGAAGTGCCCCATCAGAGCAGTGGCTGCCACACACCTGCCCTGGCCCCCAGCCACACGACCTCCATCCCGAGCCAGGCTCCCGGCTGTACTCCTAGGGAGCCCCACCCCCACGCGCCCCCTCTCAGCTCAGGGACACGTACATTTTATTGAAGAGTATCAGCACTGATGCTTCTGCAAGTTGTTCTGCAGAAAGGAGACCTAAGAGCTGCACGCAGGATGCAGAGAGTTGGGTGGGGTCAGAGGCATCCATCATGAACTGGGGAAAAGGAAACATGTCAGCAATGTTCTGCTGCGAAGGACGGGTCCTGCCAAACTTCCTCCCCTGGGCCTCACAGACCTGGCACTGGGAGGGCAAAACAGCTTTTTATTTATTTTTTTGAGACAGTCACCCAGGCTGGAATGCAGTGATGCGATCACAGCTCACTGCAACCTCAGCCTCCCGCGTTCAATTGAGTCTCCTACCTCAGCTTCCTCAGTAGCCGGGACTACAGGCCTGTACCACCACAGCCAGCTAATTTTTTGAATTTTTAGTAGAGACGGGGTTCACCATGTTAGCCAGGATGGTCTCAATCTCCTGACCTCGTGATCCGCCCGCCTTGGCCTCCCAAAGTGCTGGGATTACAGGCGTGAGCCACCGCGTCCGGCCCAAAACAGCTTTAAACAAAGCTTGGGAACACACAGAAACAGAAGCAGACAGAATCGAGTTTTATCAGGACGACTTGGTGTCACTCCAGTGTTTCTGTTTTCACTTATATGGAAGTCTCTGTCCTCATGGGCCATCATTTCTCCATCCTGGAATCTGGGGCACAGGCCTTGTCAAGATGGCCAACCAGAGGCATGTATAAATCCAACATAAAACACAGACGTACCGGGGAGCAACACACGGGGCTGAATCTGTTCTCTGCAGCGCAGCAGCCCTGCCCTCAGCAAGCCCTCCGTGAGCTCTAACGTGGGCCTTCGAGCACAAGCACCAGAGAAACCAGACGGGGTGCCCAGCAGAAAGCAACACTAGCGTAGGACCTGTTTCCATGACTAGTAAGTCACTAAATAACCCAAACCCCAAACCCGGTTCTACACATAGCAAGGTTGGGGAATGGACATCACAGGAACGTCGACACACTTCTCTAAAGGAAGCCCATCTAGGATTACAACCTACCAGAAGAGAACGGCAGTTTCCATAGTAACTGGACCAGATGGGGCCCATGCACCCTCCCAGCTCCCGGATGGTGATCTTTCTCTGTGCCATGATGTCAGTAAGATTGGTGCCCACCTATAGGAAAAACCACGATGCAGAGAGAACAACACAACCGCTGTCGCGCTGTGAACTCCTGAAGAGCCCCGTGGCCACACCTTACACGGCGGCCTGAGCCCCGCAGACTCGTGCTCCAAGGCTTCAGTCCGTAAGGCAGGAACGGCGAGCAGGGACCGACGCCCATCAGTAGTTGACTCGCTGTGGGGGCGACCAGCCACAGGAACCCGCTGCGAGAGCAGAGGGGTGCCCGTGGAGGGCGGCAGGCCCCTGCATCCCGGGCCAGGCATCCTCAGCTCAGTCCCCGCCCCCGCCCCGCTCCCGAAGGCGGACCTCAAGTCAAGGCCAGACCGGCTGCGCCTCGGCGTGCACTTACAGGAGCCTGCAGCGCAGAGCTGACCCCACGCACTCCACCCGCGGGGCGGACACCTACCGTGGGCCGTGTCGGGGGCGGCTCCCCCAGGTCGCCCTTCCCATCCCCGGAGCTCACCTGTGCGGAGCGGTTAAGGAAGGACCCGAGCCGCTAAAGGGTGAGTTCCCGCACCTGCCCGGGTGCTCCCCACTCCCCGGTCCGGCCCCCACGCGGAAGGATATCCTGCAGCCGTTTCACCAGCAGCGTCTTCCCGACGCCCGTGGCCCCCAGCAAGAGACACATTCCGTCCTTCACTCCACCCGGCACCCGTAGCTCGGCGCCGCGGCGCAAAGCTCGCCCATCGCCGGCTCTCATTGGATAGGTCTCAGGTCCGTGCTGCTGATTGGTTCTTAGGGCTCATCGCTCCAATTAGCGCTCAACGTCAGCGGGAGAACGGAAGATCCCGCCTTCTCTTGGCTCTCGGGCAGGCGCGGTGACGTGCGCCTGCGCGCACTGGAGGAAAAGGCGGAAGCGGAAGTCGGGGGGCGCGCCAGCTCGCAGCAGGGAGCGCCCGCGGCGTCTGGTCTGGGCTGGAGGTCGCCATGGGGCGAGGCAGCGGCACCTTCGAGCGTCTCCTAGGTAACGCGCCCCCGCCCGACGGCTCGGCCTTAGGTCGACTGGCAGCCCTAGCCCGGCGCTGAGTCAGCGCGGCCCGGAGGGCTCGAGGGGCGCGGACCGGTCGCCGTGCCTGCCTCTCCCTGGCCCGCTGTCCTCCTGGCGCGGAGCCGCTGATCTTGGACCGTCGGCTTGGCCGTGGGGTCGGCGTCTGTTGGGCGTCGGCGAACCTGGGCGTTGTGAGGTTCTGCGCAGGGCGCCGGGGCGCTCGGGATACCCGCTCCTCCGCGGGCCTGGGTTTTCGGCAGGTTTCCCCCTGACCGACCTGCACCCGGCCTAGTGGGCCACAGGGCCTGAGTCATGAAAGTGGGTGACTCAGTCGCATGTCATTAGGCTCGCACTTGGGCTTCTGACCCAAAACATTGGTCCCAGAAGGGTGGGGCTGGCAGTGTCCTTTCTGGGACCTTTGAGCTCTCTTGGGAGCTGTGGGTCCCAGACCCACCTTTTGTTCCCACACTGGCTTCTGGAAGTGCCCAATGGTTTAGGAAGACGTTTTCTCTGGTTTTTGGAGGTGAAAGCTGATCCTGTCTGAGCCTCTTGGAGTTGACAAGTTTTAGGAGGGAAAATGAATGTTTACGGGCAGTTCCCGGTAGCCCCGTAGTGAAAATGTGCCTTGTGTTTGGGGAGAGGTGCTTGGGTGTCCTGATGGCCTGCCCCAAGCCTGCCTTTTTGTTAACTATGGTTTTCAAGGAGAACTCACATGAGACACCTTCCTTGCCCAGGGAATCTGCAAGCAGACTATCTCAGCCTTACAGATAGTTCAGTGTTTCAGGGATGAAGCCAGAGATTGACTACTGAATCAGTATTGAAAATGGATGTGGCTTGGCTTGTTAGATTGTTTCTGTTTCCGGGGAAGGCGGTGTGGGCAGAGCTGGAGCTGTCCCTCCAAGGCCCGGTTGTTGGAATTAGCAGCAGTGATTTGGGGAGGACAGATATTAGCGGGCGGGTCCTCCTTGGAGGCCCTTTCTGCCCTTATTCCCAAAGCACTTGGAGCAGGGGGGCCTGGAGTCTACACTGCAGGCCTCTCGCTCTTGCCTCAGCTAAGATCTCATCGAATGCGGGAGCATCTGAGCGAAAGGGGACTCTGAGGGACAGGTGACAGAGTTCTTTGTTGAGAAGCAGCCAGGCCTGACGTTTAACAGTGAATCAGCCTCTGTCTGTGGCGAGCTGTGTGACTCAGGGTCATGCCCTCGCTGCTCTGCCGAGTGTCTTTACCTTGCTGGTAGGTTGTGGGAGGGCTTGGACCAGCACCAGGTGTCCTCTCTCTTCTCACACTGTTCCAGGCTTCCCTGGGAAGGATGGCACTTCCGTGCTTATCAGCAGGCTCGGGAGTATTCTCACATAGTTTTTCATTTGGTCCAAATGTCTAAAAGGGAAGGAGGGAGTCCCCCTGCCCTGCTGCCGAGCTGGGGTGCTGCATGGGGAGTCCAGCATGATGAGCCCCCCCCCCAATCGCTTTTTCTCCCTCAGACAAGGCAACCAGCCAGCTCCTGCTAGAGACAGACTGGGAGTCCATTCTGCAGATCTGTGACCTGATCCGGCAAGGGGACACACAGTGAGTGAGCGGGGTGATGCCCGAAGTGGGGAGTGGCCCTGCACGAAGCTGGGCTTGCTTGGTGCCTGTTGGTTGCCCATGATTTAGCTGACCATGTTAGGCTTTTTTTTTGAGACAGAGTCTCACTCTATTGCCCAGGCTGGAGTGCAGTGGCACGACCTTGCTTTGCTGCAACCCCTGCCTCCCGGTTCAAGCACTTCTCCTGCCTCAGCCTCCCAAGTAGCTGAGACTACAGATGCCTGCCACCACACTTGGCTAATTTTTGTATTTTTTAGAAGAAACAGGGTTTCACTGTATTGGACAGGCTGGTCTCGAGCTCCTGACTTCATGATCCTCCCTCCTTTGCCCAAAATGCTGGGATTACAAACGTGAGCTACCGGGCCCGGACACATTCGGCCCTTATGTGGAGAATTGCATGGTCTACGTGCTAAGATTTTTGACATCTTGGAACAATTAAGGGTTTTTTTTTCTGTACAGCTTGCAGATACCTGGTTATGTTCATATTTGCTTCAGGGTTCTCACAGACTAAGACAACAGACTTACTTTTTTTTTTTTTTTTACGATGGGACCTTGCTCTGTCACCCAGGCTGAAGTGCAGCGGCATGATCTCAGCTCACCAAAGTCCCTGCCTCCCAAGCTCAAGCAGTCCTCCCACCTCAGCCTCCCAAGTAGCTGGGACTACAGGCGTGCACCATCACGCCCGGCTAATTTTTTGCTTTTGGTAGAGGTGGGGTTTTGCCATAATGCACAGGCTGGTCTCAGACTCCTGGGCTCAAGCAGTCCTCCTGCCTTGGCCTCCCAAAGCACTGGGATTACAGGTGTGAGCCACTGCACTGGCAGCAGATGAACTTCTCTCATCTTAGTTGCTGACGCTGTTTTTTTACTCTTTCTCTTTGCTTTTACCAATGCTGTTTCCCTTTTAGAGCAAAATATGCCGTGAATTCTATCAAGAAGAAAGTCAATGACAAGAACCCACACGTGGCCTTGTACGCCCTGGAGGTAACTAGACCCTGTGCTGCAGAGGCTTCCAGGGGCCCCACCCCCCACTGGTTATGGCAGCAAGAGATGAGTTTGCCCTGTGGCATTGCCCCCCTTTCTGGGCATACAGCAAGGAGGAGAGTTTCCACTCAGCCTTGGGTGCCCACGTGAGCTGTGCCATGAGGAGGGGGTCAGTCTGAGGGAGAGATGGAGAGTGGGGAGGGAGTGAGCACCACTTCTTCAGCTGGTGCTGTGCGTGTAAACACCAAAAATGGATCTCGTCCCTGTGCTTGGCCATGAGACTTGGCATTGGAGGGAGTGGTGCGGCGCAGGCTGCTGAGTCTCAGATGCTGCTGTTTGAGGTTCCCGAAAGGCCCAATGGCCTGATGGGCCTGTTGAATGCCTGCTGTCCCACAGGGAGGTGGATCCGTCCAGCAGGAGGAGGGGCTCCTTCCCTGTCCACTGACCTTTCCTTTCTGGGCTCTGCAGGTTATGGAGTCTGTGGTGAAGAACTGCGGCCAGACCGTTCATGATGAGGTGGCCAACAAGCAGACCATGGAGGAGCTGAAGGATCTGCTGAAGGTGGGTGACACAGAGGGAAGCAGGTGGCCACCCAGGCTGGCACCTTTGCTTCTCCGGGTGTTTCCTGGGCACCTGCAACAGAACAGCACTGGGTGTGGCAGAGAACGTGCAGGTGCAGATGAGTGGTCCCTTCGGCAGAGCTCAGGGCCTCCACGCACTCACTCATGGGAGAGACTGGGCCGTGAGCCCCAGTCCAGGGAGGCAAGGCTTTAGCAGGAGCCGTTCTGGGGAGCTATGTCTGGAGCACCAGGTTGACAGCGATCTTAGGGCCTGGGGACGGCTTTCAGGAGGCACAGCTTGGGCATCAGCTGTCTTTGGGAAGGTCAGTAGATGCTGCTGGGTGGGCATGGCAGTGACGGCTATTGTGTGTGAGGGTGGCTGTGGTCCAGAGGGCAGCCTGGCCTGGACCCACAGGCAGGGATGTGGGAGGGCTCTGAGTGGGGGCTGGTAAGATCGGATATGTCTGTGGGGGAGAGGAGCTGTTTTGGAGAGTGGGAGCTTCATGCAAGCTCCCCAGTTCCCCAGGAGATTGTGCTGGGACACCTGCGTTGGGGGTGCTGTGACGGGTGTCCCCTGCAGTCAGGCTGCTCCCACTCCATCCCGACCTGTGGGCCGGGCCTGAGTCTCATAGGAGACTCCACCCTGGACCCACACAACTGAGAACCTGCCCAGGGATCTCAGTGGACAACCAGGCTTCTCAGAGCACCTTGGCCAGCCTCCCATCCCATCCCGTCCTGGCTGAGAGTCAGAAGGTGCTGGAGGCTGGAGTCTGGCACTGCTGGACCCTGTTGCACCTGTGTTCCCTCAGGCTGCAGTCCTTGAGGCCGCCCTTTCCTCTGTGGGGCGGGGTAGGACTGTGATGGAAGGCGCCGCTGAGGATGCAGAGGTTCTGGAAAGGAACTCAGGCCATGGTGCAGGTGCCCCAGTGCCTCTTTGAAGCAGCCTTTCATCCCGTGCCATCCTTGGCGTCGTACCTCCGTGGCGTTCCTGGGAGGGCTCTAGACGCAAGGCCAGGCTGCGCTCTGTCCTGGGGGAAACGGTGGCTGCAGGGGGCTTGGCACCCACTCTGAATTTGGAGGCATGTCTGGAGCAGCTGCCCTCCCCCGTCTCCCCAGCTGTGACTGGAGGAGCAGCGCAGCCTGGCCTCCACAGCGTCTCCGTCTTCTCAGCCCCAGCACGATGCCGCCACTGTCAGGCCTGCCGGTTCCTGCCTGTTGGGGGCTGATGGGAACCGGGGATCCCTGGCTGGGTGGGTCCCTTGGGAACAGGAGAGACAGATGGTCTGGGGCACAGAGACGCAGTGGTGTTTGGCTCCAGTGAGCCCTTGGTTTTTGGCAGCGGTTAGAGAAGGGCCGTGGTCTTGGACAGGTATAGACAGGCATGAGATTTGAACTCAGGGTCTGGGAACAGATGGGTGCATGGCCTCCACACCCCACTTGGGGGCCCTCTCTGGCGTCTGTGTCAGCCCCGTCTGCTTAGAGGCTGAGGTTTGCCAGCCTGGAGTCTCTTTCGACCCTCCCCATCTCCTCCGTGCCTGCAGAGACAAGTGGAGGTGAGCGTCCGTAACAAGATCCTGTACCTGATCCAGGCATGGGCGCACGCCTTCCGCAACGAGCCCAAGTACAAGGTGGTCCAGGACACCTACCAGATCATGAAGGTGGAGGGT